TATTACCACTTGAAAACTCTATTAGATTAAGCCAATAATTGATCATACATGTACTATACAAAAGTGAAAAAAAGATAACATTCAGAAGTGGAAAAATAATGCAGAGGAGGATATAAAATTGCAACTGTTATTCAGTTGCCAGTGGGTAATTAGAATCTATCCCCTTAATTACTGCATATAGAATTTCCTAGTTCAGTGTAAGCTACAACGATCATTATTGTATTGCATTGCCGGTCGACACTGTACATCCTCTGCTATGATACTGTTGGAAGTGTGGCTTCCATAGGTTTCTTAGTGATGACTATTTACACATGCCTGAGGATACCAGAGTCTGGCATTCAATCCCTTAATATTTTATAATCTATCTGAGCCATTTCCGTAATAATCTATCCCATTGATACTGCCTTGTACTGTTAACAGTACAGTTCAACTTAATCATCTCATCAAAAAACGTTAAGAACTCAGAAAGCATAGTTTCACATAAGGTATTTTATTTCTAATATGGTCTTTATAGCTCTGGTTTGTATCCCTTACTTCCTGATGTTTTGCATGTCATCTGGTTAGTTTCCTCAGGGAAGGTACATCAGCCTCACTCCTGGAGTGCAAGCTTCCTAATAAATTAAAAAAAATTCTTTGTTTGAGAGCAGAACTATTGTACAGTTGTTATGGTAACTGGATTTTAAGGAGAAGTACATAGCTTTGAGGGGCATCTGTTTAATTCCCAAACAAATCCTTCACCCCAGCTGTCCTCAAAGGAATGATTTTAAGTCAGTCTCTTGCAAGATGCAAAGAGTGACTTCCAGCTGAGAAGCTTAGCACAGCTCCCACTGACTCAATGAAAGGGGTGATCCCTTTATTTCAGCTGGAAGAGTTTCTGTTTATGAGCCACATGAGTTCTTACTTACATTTCAGTTCTGTTACTACAAAGATACATGGAAAGTCCAGCAGCAGCGGCACTCAATGCTATAGAACTTAGCGGCACACAGTGTTATAGAACTTAGCTGTACTTGGCAGAAATACCCTTGTCCCTTCCTGGACATATATACAAGAATTAGTGCAGGTATAAGGTGCTGTACAGATACACAAAAAGGAACATGCATAAATGGAAATCTACTTGGCAAGTACAGCACTAGTATGGGGGCAGAAACAGAAACAGCAAATCAGAAGATGTTGCCCATGGATGCAACCATACCATCAGTATCTGTGAAAGGAGTTTTAGTATGAAGCTGTGAACTAAGAATTTAAGTTCTTTCATGTTTTTTAAAAAGGCTGCTAATACTTGAATCAGCCATAATATGCAACATTGATTTGCGGGTGCAGGGTTCCCCCACATCCCAGACATCCCTTCCTTCCTCCTGAAGATGCAGCACTTGCATATGCAACGTGCATACACAAAAAGACACAATTGCAAATTAATATCCATACTAGTGAGAAGCTATACAATGCCTAGTAGTTTTGTCCAAGTAATAAGGCCATCAAACAACCAAAACAATCATCCAAAGACTCAGAACTACAACCAAAGAGTAAAGTAAGATTGCTAATGTGATACACGGATATACAAACTAGTTCTTTCAAAGGCATTTACCATCCAGCACAGAGTTAAATAATGTAACTGTGACTAAGTGACTGAAAATGCCAAGAATCAAGCATTATATTAGCATCAGCAACAGTTACCTATCTTTTCAAAGTCTTTTACTGAATTAGATCCAAAAACAAGTTTAAATGACTGGATGGGTTGAGAAAGGGTAAAATATTCTAAATTTCTGTAATCAGGGACAGAAAAAGATATCCAGAGTCAACTAAAGCAAAGAGTTCTAAATGAAAGACTTTTAAATAATACATCACATTTTAGTTGTTAAAAACATGCATACTTCTCCAATTACCTGATTGCATAAATGTAACATTTATTTGTATTTAATCTTAATAAATGCAATCCTTAGTTATAACAAAACATCAGTATTTCATACTGATAGAAGTAGAAGAGAAACAACACATATGAATAAGCACAGTAGAATTCATTATTTATATGATTGCTCCATGCTCACTTCCTTTTATTTATTTTAAGTGTCTTTCTGTTTTCAAGGCTGATTTGAAAGATGGGAATCAGATGGCTGTTTATACGTATGAAAAACGTCTTAAAAGATCTCTAGATTATATCTAGTTTATAAACACTGCCAACTTTCTACACCTGTATTGAATCAAGACAGTTTATAAAGTAGGAATTGTATGTTCACAGATGCATCTTAACATTAAAGTCCATTTTATTTACATGACCCTGGAGCCTTGTCCAAACAAGCTCACTTGAGCTTTACCCAGATGGTGGCCATTTGCTTGGGCTTCATTTATTACTATTCCCATAAGTTAAGGCAGGCAGCCAGCTGGCAGACAATCACAGACTTTTGCTGCAGGGATTATGTCTTCATCTTTGCATGGAAAATAAAGGAATGACAGTTATAAACGTGCTAATGTTTGCATCACTTTCTTGCTTAACCTACTGTGTAGATGCTTGTTTTGTGCCTGAAAATAATGTACACATGCATTAATAAACAGCCATGAAAGAAATGCAGCAAGAACAGAAAGGAGTTGACCTGAATTAATAATATACTAGTATTGCGATTTAAGTCTAAAATTTTCAAACCTGAAAAGAGTCAGGTAACAGTGGGACAGAAGATAAAATATCAGAGACCAGGATGCTATGAAGATATAAAGCAATTTTACAGCATGTTCATGCTGAGTTAGATTAATACGCAGCTTTTTTATTAAAAAATAAAGTAATATGATAACATTATTAAACAGATGTATGAATATGTTGGTGTTTATTTAAAATTTCACGAGGCTTTTTATTCTGTATCTTAGCATATATGCAACAAAAGACTGGTGCTGCCTGCAAGAAACTTACATGCTAAACTGGAACTTTTTACTAGTGCGTAATATGACTTATCTGTGAACATAAAATGGTACTTATTTCTCTAAGAGATTCATATATTTGTTTATTATATCAATAACATACAAAAGCTATTACAGAATTGCATGGTAATAAGTAAACTTATTAGCATAGTATTTTCCTTAAGATATCGCTTGTTTTCATGTGATCCACTGAGCTACATGTATATCCAGTTTGACACAGAAATAACAACAATAAAAAAATTGAAAACCTTTCTAAAAGAGCCTGCCCATCTAAGAATCAAGTGGATGTAAAGAGAAATACACCAGCAGACCACAAGCTCTCAGACATATATTGAACAGCATATCTTTATCTGAGTATTGTACAGTTAAACACCACCTCTCTACTATTAAAATGAAATGACTAGTATGTAACAGGGAACAGTATAGATTTATATTACAAAGATAAGCATCAATGTTTATACAATATCCAGCCTTAAACTAAATCTAACTCCTTATATTCTATCAACATTAACAATATCAGTACCTGCAAAACTTTGTCATGTTCCTGAAACATGAATTCCCAAGTAACTAATGAACAGACAGCCAAGCTTGCCATTGAATTAGAGCAGCTTCCCCACTACCACATATTAAAGAACAGTTTATGTACTTTACGTTAACTTCTGAATTTTTAGAAGTGTATCATTTTATAGTCAGTAGAGATAAATTCAGAACAGCTTTAAAATCTCACGTGAACGCCCAACTTTTCTAGCTAGAAAGTTATGTTTAGATTTTTTCCCCCTTCATCCAGAAAGCCAACTTTGCCTAGTAGAAGTCTATCAATAACAAATGCTGAAACCCCCAAGAAACAATAAATATTTGACTAAACAAGATGCACAACCATTTCTTCATCTTGCAAATAGAAAATCTAGTTTTACTTCAAGAACTCTAAATCAAACAATAATTAGAATAATTCCTTTTCAACATGAGGTTGCATAAGTGTAACCCAGCGCAACATTTCCCCCCAACCTGAGAGAAAAACTTGAATGTATTTACCACCCCCCACCTCCCTAAATAGAACACAAGCTGAAAGAAATCTGAGTGATGAGACATGAGCTTTTCTTTGAGGTATTTTACTGAAAGAGCTATTCAGACTCATAGCAAAACAGGAGCACAAAAAGTTTAGCATTATGAAAATAAGAAACTATTGAAAGAAGTCTTTTATGCCCTTTTCTCTTGTGTAACTATGGGTGTATTTCAACACACTTTTTCTTTTAAATTTAAATTCTTATTAGAAATACAATTAAGTATATAAGGCTTTCTTTGAACTGATCAGACTTTTAGAACTATCTGTATTGCCATTTTCTGCTAGACATCTCATAACATGGTATAATATTACAGATTTAATTAGCTAGTAAACACGATTTCTGTGTTAACAATCCCTGAATCCTTCATGGAAGGGACACACATCCCTCCATAACACCTGCCTCCTCAATCCCCCTTATCCTGTAGCACTCCAGAGCAGCATTAATACTATTTTAAAAAGCAAAATTCTAAAATGGGGAAAGCTTCTACAAGCACCTTGGTCAGTTCCAGGTGTAGAAGTTACATAGTAGATCAGAACCATAACTTTTAACTTTAACACACAGTAGGAAAACAAGCACTTACATTGTATAAAGTAACAACACAACACTAGCATACTTGAAAGGTTTATACCACGCTACTAACAAATCGCAACACAGACTTACCTGGAGCACTGAGGAATAACACAACTTGAAGCAGTTTTTCTTATTAAAAAACAAAACAAAACAAACAAAAAAACCCAAACCAAACCAAAACAAAAAAACACAGAAGTTTCTTCAACACAACACCACTAGCATTGTGTTATCTCAATACCAGCAAGGCACAGCAGGCCTCTCTGGTAAGTGTGAGGTAAAACTACTTCCGTCTTTTTCCACTGTTCAAAAGAGCTTAACAAAGTCTGAAGAAAAGCCCTTGATTGTCCTTATTTTGTAAGGGGGAATGTGCCCTGCCATTGTGTTATCTCGCTATGCTCTGCTGTGGAAGCTTCCAGAAGGCACTGAGCAGGGCAGGGCTGGGCTGCTAGGCCGAGGTGAAATGGTGGTATTTCCGCAGCCTGCACAAGCTGGGAGGAGCACTTCAGCCTGTGACACCACAGGAAAGCACACTGTGAAGGAGAATACTGCCTTCCCTTACTGCTTTGTTGCTGCTAATGGTATGGTGATTGGTTTTGGTATTTTTTGGGGGAAGTGGGGAGGTCAGCATTGGGTAACTTCTCTAGGAATTGATGACTGTGGCGGTAAGGGTGTGGCCTCTGTCCCTTCTGTCATAACACCTTAATTTCAGACTATGTCATGTGCATTGGCAATTGTTTCCCCATGGAAACTTTTCTGTGGGGCCAGGGGACTCTGAGGACAATGTACACCTTAAAGCTAACTTTCTTGGTTGTTTTTACACTGAAATTAACAAAGAGATTTGGGAAGGTATTAAAACTCACCCCTTTCTCAAACAAGTGTCCTAATGTTTTCCCAACTTGTCCTAAAGTTACTGGTCTGTTCCTGTCAGGGAATTCGTCTTTAGCTTTTGTGCTCCATTTCTAGCCTTGCAACAACCAGTGCCAGGAATCCTCAGTGCAACATGCCTCCCCATCAACAATGAATTTGTTGGAAGTGTTTTTATCCTCAATATATTATTTTCTTTTTAGTCATTGTTTATAAATTTAAAATTCTTCCTAGCAATCATGATATCTGCTCCATATGTGGATTCTTGTAGCTAATAAGTTTCAGAGCTATAAGCATGTTCAATATCACAGACAGTTACTGGTCTCACAAAGTACAAATTGATTTTCCTTCCTTCCTTTTTTTTTTTTTTTTTTTTTTTCTTTTTGTCATCTTGACTACACCTGTACCACAAGCAAAACTTGTTGATAAAGCCAAGGACTTGATAGGCTTGTAATCTAATCTTTACTGCTAGTTCTTGTAGTACTAAGGACTTTTTATTATTATTATTATTATTAATTTATTTGTGTGTTACGAAGCTTCTGTTGCAGAGCAAAATGCAACTGTCTTGATGGCTTTATTTGTGAGTTTTCTGTAGTCAGTATGCTGTCTGGGGGAGTGGGGTGCAGATTTCTAATTACAGCATTATAGCAGGATTTTACATTTGAAGGATGACCCAATCTTCAGTTTCTGGATAGTTAAAAAAAACTCATTTGTAGTTTCACGTTCTTTCATGTTTTCATATGGAATTGTTGCAAAATACAGATGCAATAAAGCTGTTGCTTTTGTCCTTATCAGTGTTGAACACTGATAGCTCACACATTTAAGTTATTGCCTAAATTTTCTTCAGATGTCTTCTGTATTTCTAGTGACTTTTCCCTTGTAAGATGTTTTATTTCCAAGTTAAGGTTGTCTGTCTTTTATTTCTCTGACTGCTATTATAGTCTGGTGTGTGACAATTACTGTCAGCTTCAACAGGCTTGAAGATGTTGCAATTCAGTCACAACATAGCAGTTTTGTTTCTGTACTGCGATGTGGGCTTCTCTAGGCATCACAAACGTGACTTCTCTCTGAGTTCAAAATATTTAATGGTATATTTCACAAGACAGAATCTTGTAGGCCAACTTTCTTGCATAACGCTGAAAAAAAAAAAAGCCTTTAAGTTTACAGGTAAATTTTAAGCAAAAGAAGAATTGAATTCAAAAGTGCAGTGGAGTTCAAAAGTAGACATCTTACTAATGAAGGTAGGATTGCATCAGGAAAATGTGAGTAGTGTCTGAGGTACTAGTGTGTCATTATGTAAGGTTCTATTTATACTTTTTTAATAAGCTCCTTTTCACTAATGTTTAGCTTCCGTGTTCAATGCACAAACATTCCAGCATATATAGGAAATCACATTTTTCAGTTTCGTGAACAACTGTCTTGAATCCAGATTTTTCACATATATGAACAACTGTCTTGAATCCAGATTTTATGCAACAAACTCTAAAGTCAATACATGGGAAGTATTTTACAATTACAAGAATTAAATCACACAGTTTTGAAATTAACATATAAAACTTTCATTTTTACATAGCAGAGTTGCTGTCTGGAAATGATCTATAAAACAATAGAAGTCAAGAGGAAATTCTGTCAATAGCCATTTCTTCTTCATAGTACGGGATTTCTTCATTTCATGATGTGTACGTGTGATAAAACATTGTGATGGCTGATAAGTACTAGAGTGCTGTTCTTCCTGTTCTAACTCAATATGGAATTGTGTTTATCACCTCTTGTGAGCTTTCCTAGACATTTCCTGGAAATCTCCTAGGTTATAAACATGGAACTTCAGCACCAGGTCTTTGATCCTGGCAATGTTGTACAGGCTACAAAAGCAATTCTTGTAGGATCGGTCTATTAAAGGGGGTTCTCTTAATGGAAAATTTGAGCCCATGGAGTGGATGCTAAGAGGAAAAGAAAATAAAGGTTTCTAATAGTAATTAGAATTCTTGGTTGTAGTTAGTTATATGTAGCTGGTCAAAGCTAATTGGATTTGTTAATTTAGTTTAACAAATTGCTCATGGATCGCTAATTACTTTGCGGCCTCATATGATGAATTCATTACATCAGCAATTTTCCCATGAACATTGAGTTTTGAAGGATTAGCACTTGCCACTGTTCAAGTATACCATGAAAAATGCATAGAATGAAAATTACTTATTTTGATTTCTAACCCTTTGTTACTTTTCTTAAGGAATTGTAAAGCATTAATTTGACTCTAGACTGAGAACTGTGGCAGATTATGTTCATAATATGAGTACTGTATATATTCCGTAGTTCTGAGTCCGAATACTATTTAGAAATCTGTTCTTAATTAGTGTGAAGGAACAGCTGTGGTTTTTGTAGTGTTGTGGTTTTTCTTTCTTTTGAAGTGTTAAGGGAATATAACTGACTACAGAAGTAACTTTAAGTTCATTTTAAGTGCAACTCATGCACTTAATAAATACCTTTATTACCATTTTATGGATGAGGAGCGATTTTAGACACTCTTTGTCTGTCTGCCCACTGATTAACTGGAGGGATGTGTGTTTATTTGTTGCCTACTTCTGGTATTTGTATGTATGAGTGTTTCAGCAAAGTTGAAACAAATGCCCATCTCCCGAAAATATCTATCTTCCTTGTGCACTTGTAACTTTTTTTTTTTTTTTTTTTTTGGTTTAGCTCAATAATTTAAGTTTTGTTGCCAATTTTCTGTGGATTTACTTCTGATATTGGTGTAAGTGCTTTTGTAACATCAATGGAAGTATCTCATATATATTTTCCCTGACATGGTAACAGCCCCAGAGGAGCCATTACGATCGCATTCCAGGCACTGGAGCTGTTACAGTGTCAATGAAGTGTCTCTCATACTTCCATCGATATGGTAACAGCCCCAGAGGAGTCATTACAATGTCAGTGCAAGTGCCTGAGTGGTTATGATGTCAGTGGAAGTGCTGTTTTAATGCCAGTGCAGAATGGTTGTGCAAAATTCCATAACTGTGATGAAAGAAGGGGATTATTTTTAGCATATTATTTTGGTTACTCAACCTAAAACATTTGCATATAAGCTTCAAAGAGACAGAGATCCTCTGTAATGCCCTATATATGTCCTATGGTATGCTAATTAAGACAAAAATTACTTAGGAATATGCAACTTCTACTATACTACATAGTGACAACACCTTATAGAGGTGCACCACAGCACAGCTGATGCAATAGAGCAGTAACCATTGTCTAACTAGACAAAAACTGAAAACCTCATTCATGACAAAATAAAAAATAAAAAAAATGTGGTATTCACACTACATTTGAAAAACCCATGGAGCTGAGTGTTTTAATCAATGTTGTTAGGTAGCCAGAGGAACAAGGTGAACTAAGCATTTGTTGCTTTGCCAGATTTGTTCCTCAAACCAGAAGTTTGCAAATAATTTCACTGAAAACTTGGGTTTACATTAGAAACCAACAAATGAGAGTAACAAAAATAAAGAAAAGGAAAATAAAAATGTTTTTTCACTGAAGCAGAACACATAGAAGAAATGTAAGAGCAGTAGCTCCTGGCTACTTCTATGTACAACTTTGAGTAATGTTAAGTATTTCAATTTGTCATGCTGAAAAGATTCATGTTGAAGAACAAAGATTGGTTCTTTCAAATCCCTTTACCACGAAGTCTTCATCTGTGTCTTAGTCTATGATGTATGTTCATGGTGTTTTTGTGAATTATTTGGTTATGATAACTCTCACATCTGATCTACATCTTATGTCTTGTCATTACTCTTATTTTAAATCAACCTAGCACTTGGTTAGTGATTAAAAATGAATCCCAATAGTAGTTCACAAATAATGATATAGGGCAGTAAAACAGCTATTGTTAAATTATTTTTTTTATCAGTCTGAATTATTTCTGAACAGTTGCTCAAAAGTGAGGCTTGCTGTAAAGAAATTGCTAGAGTCTAAAGTACAGACTACACAATATATTTTTTTTTTTTTTAAAGTTAGGCATTTACTGCTTTATTAGTTCATATAAATATGTTTACAATAAAATGTTTCCAGGCTAGTTGATTTTCATACAATAAAAGACAATTTAATAATTGATGAAAGATTTTTTTTCTTTAGATGGAAAACAGTCTCTAACTAAATCTTTGCACCTTTTATACCATGCACTAATCCACATGAACACTTGTAAACTATACCACTGACTGTTTTCTCATTTTTATTGTACCTTTCTTATGTTCTAATATCATCTTAGTCATTGTTTAAAATTACACTTTCAGGTACAGTTGAAAAACATAGCCTGACTTCACTGAAGTTGAAAACATCTTTATTACTTAGTTTAGATATTTCAAATCCAACAGTTCATTAATGTAGTAGAAGGTTAATTGCTTTCAATGTTCCATTAACAGGAATGAGATGTCTTTACTTCTTTTTTCTTTTGAAGTAAAAAGTAGGTGCATTCTTCTTTATTTTATTTTTGCCTTTATTAATGTATAGTAAGGGAGTAAGGTGGTAATGGTCCTAGGACTGTAGATTACCTACCTCTACCTAACCACAGTTACTTAAGTTCATTATGGTAACATTGTTCAGTTAGTCCTAGCTGTTAGTAATTCAATAATGGTGATTTTATTTTCAGCTTTAGAAGCTTTAGCTTCTCTAAATTTAGCCTCTCTAGATTTCTTTATTTGCATTTTGCAAGTAACCCCAA